CTTTTGCTTCTTTAAAAAGGCCATGGCTCAGCATCTATTATTACCATCAAATACTAGACACTGAAGTCAAATGCACTGGCTTTATCACTTTCTCTGCCAATTATAAAGGACTCGGCGAAATATTGATAAAAATAAAATCTTACCAGGTGGTGGCATTGGTGGTGCAGGAGGGATGTCTGCAAAGAAAGAAAGTGGAATGAGTAAAAAAAAAGAATGCAGCACATCATGTCGATACAGTGTGCGAAGGATTATCTGTGTTGGCAGGCTTGATGCAGTGCTATGCCTGTCCTTACCACATTCATTTAGTTTCAAGGTAATGCGAGATGGCTGCCAACTCTCACCAGTACCCAGAGTGAATGTGCTCGGGGAATATTTGCACACATCATAAAATTGCAAATGCATGTCTGTGTAATGCAATTTGATTTCATATGCTTTATTTCTAACTTTGCCATTAGCACTTCCTGCTTTGTTGAAAATTTTCAGGCTGCTCATATTTTGCCAGTCAATCAAAAAACTTATGTTCATAATGATGAGCTGCCTGTGTTTTTTTTTCTGCAGTACCATTAGTTTGTGTTTGAGCTTTTATGACTCATGTTGCCAACTGGCTTAGGACTATACACTCCAAAGTTCATAATAATAAGCTTGCAGAGATTGTGCTAAAATATGATGCGTAAGCTTTGAAATGTGAGAAATAGCTGGCGAGTGCCTTAATTCTGAAACTGTATAGAAGACAGTGGCCATTTCTGTTTTGAGAGAAGGGAAACAGCTCAGCGGACATTACTTGATGGACCATGCAGAATATAATGGAATGTAATTAACTACACAGTCACTGTCATCTATAAGTGCATAGTGCCAGAACAATTTCTGATTTGCTGAGCAGGCATCATCTATTCAGAACGGGGCACTCCAGCTATACCAAGAAAGTTTTGTTCAGAATATTAATTGATCATCGCCCGAGTGTGATGGTGCATTTTAACGGCTTGAGCTGTATCTCGTGGCAAACAAAGGCAGAGGAAATAGCCCAGAAAATACTGAGCGCTCATGGAACGCTATTGCCGGATAGAAAATAGTTTTACTTTACTGCACTCATAATATAATCGAATAGCTGTGTGAAGTGTATTACGTATGAAATGTAATGGGACTGCCAAAATTACACTTACTATCATTATCCAATAGAATGCCATTTATTTACTCATTGAGTGATTTTAAATTGGGGGTTCATGGTAAAAGCAGCACAAGAAAGATTGCACAACAAAAAGAACAACATTGGACAAGCACATTGGACAAGTGCTGATCCTGTGCTCAGTGCTTGTCCTTCGCCATTCTTCTTGTAGTACCGCCTGTTTGTGTTGCTTCTGCCACGATCAACCAAATAGCTGAAATTTGTAGGGTGTTGCAATCAGTTAGGGCATTTTACAATACTATACCTAAATATTTGTCCAAATTACTGTGGGTCAAGGATGTTAAGTATTTTCAGTAAAAATATATTCCGATTGCTTACCTCTGTTATACGAGAACAAATGAGCCTTCTCTGTTGTATTGCACCATCGAGTTTTTTTTTTTTTTTTCCGTATGAAACCCTATGTTTTATGCAACAGGTCGTACGAAGAAAATTCTGGGAGTGTGAATGTGGTGCAACTTTTGCCATCCTTGTGTTCATTCAAAAAGAAAATGATGGTTTCCTTCTATGTTTAAGTTTGATTGCTCATCTGACTTGTAAAAGCAGAAAAAAGGCACTTACTCGTTTCCACGTATCCATAGGGATTGTTTTCATCGTAAGTCTCTGGAAGATAGAGGGAGATTCGTGTGATATTTCTTCCCTTCTCCAATGAGTTTAATGACTGCACTAAACCTGTTCATTCATGATGGTCGATGCAAATACATGTTTTTGGACAATGACACTGTCATGATTCTTCATTGAAAATGTGTTGTGCTAGTGTATCATCTGTTAGAGCACTTTGGTAAACATAGTAAATGCACACCTCTTCACCTGCAGTGTCCTAGCATTCTAGGACTGCTGTGGTGTGGAGTGTCCTAGAATGCTATCGTGGATCAGCAAATTCGTTGTCATCTTCTACTGAAGTATGTGGACTCCTCGCTTGTCGAATACGTGATATAAGTAGAATAAACATTTCATTAGTTATATGTTTTGTCGTTTATACATGCAAATTGTGCGTCTACTAGATGAACTGATTCATGTTGTTGCTACTGCACACTGATTTGAAATTCAAACTATGAAATGGTATTCAAGATCAACAGTAAACCACTTGAGACAGGAAGTTCTTTCAAAACTTGATAAACAGTCTGTAAGTGCACAACCAGATAAGGATGGTGAAGACGGGAGACACACAGGCACTAACTTGCAGCAGTTTAATGATAATGGCAGCGTAGAATACACTATAAGGTAACTCATGATCGTACTATACATAAGCACGGCCGGCAAAAGTCAGTGACCATGCAGGTATCGTAATTGCTTTGAAGATAAAGCGATTGGTAGCTTTGACGCAGAGCTATCCCCTACATTATCAATCCTTTCAGCCTCGGTAGTTTCCCATCTAAGTTATCTGCTTGTAAGAACTGGTGTGTTCATTATATCTTATCAACTTGGCCAAATAGCCTCGTTAGTGAACTTCCAAAGCTGTTTATTTGCATTCATTTGGTAGAAAAAAAAGAAAAAAAAATGTGAAGGATGAAGTGTTAGTCATTTTCGGTTGTTTCACAGTGTGACATCATACCTAGTAGATATTGTCAAAATTTTACTTTTTGCCTTTCAAGGCAATGGGTCACAGTGAGACACACATTCATTGTTGTGATTTTATAAAGCTATTTGTATGAAACCAGCTCAAAATTCCTACTTAGGGTCCATTTAGTGGCCATACAATATACATGTAATAGCACTATACTACTTGCACACAGATAGTAAATTTTCTGTTCACTTTGATGTGTGGCAATGACCTCGGAGGCATTGGCACTGATGCACTGAGTATCTGGTAGAGTTAGCTCTCTTTTTAGATGAGAACCAGAGCATTGTCGCTGTGTCTTTTTATATCCGAATAACTGTAAAAACCGTATATCTTAGTCATATCTCAATTGGTAGCACCCATTCAGGCTGCCGACTTCTGAGAAAAAAAAATGCAGTAGAACAAAGTACACATAAAAATGCAAAGGAAGATGCATTGCAAACAGCAAAACTTCATGCATTAGTTAGCAGTGAGAACAAATAAAGCCCAGTGGTAATTTTAAATAAGGACAGCATGGGTGGGATTCCTAGCAAGACATGCATCATTGTAGTGCATCGTTGTAGCACAAGCACTGCGCACACATACTGTCAAGAAGGCTGCGTGATGTCACGTTCTGCTGTAGATGGTTTGGTCTTATCTGTTACGAAGCCTCATTCGATGGCTGACAACAAGGCAGTCCACTTTCTTAGCTTTGTCAACCACAGAAGATTATTAGATATGCACCATCTCACCATAATTCAAGCAGGGAAGGGGAGCATTCACGCTTTAGTGAGGATATACATCGTTATGTTAGTACCACAATGCAACATGTTACATTCCTGTTACATTACTAGCTTGAAATGTTGATTACCTCATGCATGTCACAGTTCATGTACATTTGGGCATGTTGAAGTACCTCATTTCGTGCTGTATGAGGTGGCACATTATAGCACATTAGTACTGCCAAGATGAGCGATTTGCAAAGGGTAATTTAGAATGTATAGAAATCGGCATGCTTATATTTTATTCATACCTTACCATCAGATCGAAATCTGGTCACTACTGATGCCCCAAGCCGCTCTCTTGTGCTTACTGAGGGGCCTGTACCATTCTGGCTTTGCAGAAGTTGTGCTATGCACAAACGGAGTATAAAATGCGATGTGTGCTCACAGAAGAAAAGTAGCTGCCAAGCCAAGAAATAACGGACTGCACGTGCTGCCACTGTGTTTTAGCTTGCAGAAAAGGAAGGTGGCAGTTGAGGGTTTACATGAAAACCAAGAAAATTTATGGCTATTACGTCTTAGAATATCAAATACAAATAAAAAAGGCATGTCAGTGCAAACAGGTATTATTAAACCTGTGTGCCTTTACTGTAACTCACAGTATATTAATGAATGTTAGTGACAGAAATCTCCTTTTCACCTCAGTGTAACAGAAAATTGGTTTTAATTATCTGATTTCACCACATACGTTGCAATAATGGCAGTGCTCACATTTTTTTCATACTTTTTAAAGACTTAGTCAAGTTATTGTTAAGCGCATAACTTGAATTTCTGAACACCTTGGAAACCTAGCTTCCATTAAACTTCTGTGCATGCTGTTCAGTCAAAGCAACTTAAGAAAGGAAGGCAAACAGGGTGTTTGCTTTTCACTCATTTCATGACCGGCTGGTGTTTTACGTCTCTCAACATTAATGCCTGCATGAGGGAATTGATGTTTTTTTATGTGGCCAGATTCATGATGTTATGGTTATGCATATTTGGATAACAACCGTAGGGCGACCAGGACACAAGAAGACAACAAATAGACAGCGCTGTGGGTGTCTATTTGTTGGCTTGTTGTGCCTAGTTTACCCCACCATTTTTTTCCAAATATACTGTACCAACAGCCTAGCAACTTCAGCGGTTGTGTAGTCATGGGCAAAGTTGCTCAAGTGCACATCAGAGTAACAGGATAGGTAGGTTGGCAAGTTGGCATTTCATATTTATAGGAAATGCAACATGACAATAGAAAAATACAGGATAGTTGTTCTGCATCTTTTTGTGAACACCTGGTAGACTACACAAATGTGAAAAAGTAGATAGATATGACATGAGTGCCGTATTTTCCTCCATGGCTTTCGTGTCGTTTCCCGGCCAGCAGAGGTGCACCAATCAGCGTAATGTAGTGACCTTCAACAGAACAGCTCCCCATGAATCGGGGTTAATATGTAGAAATGTACATGTATGCACTCAAGCAGAAACACAGACAACACTAGGCAACAGACACAACACAGCTGCATTTTTGTTAATGGTAAGGTGGGGAAGACTTTATTCATGCACTCAGCTTGTACAAGACTCAATAAAAAGTGAAACACTTGAAAAATAGAACTGGACACTGGTCTACTGGTAAATTCAAAGCCAAATGCCATCAACACCCACGATGGCCGTAATGTAACATTTGAATGTATTGCAAGCTGAACTGCCACTCGAGTGTTTTATTTTTATCTTTACACACAAACAGAAGTAAAAAAAAATTAAGAGGTAGGTAGTATTTAAATGTAGAAAAAAGGAAAAAAAAAACACATACGCAGAACACAGAACATGGCAAAATTGGGATAGACTGGCATTCTGGGATATGGGTCGCTCTTTGTAACCTCTGTATATAGTAAGTATATATCTATCTCTTCTCGCTAACATGTCTCTGTTAACATTAACATTAAAGTGCAGTTAACACTTGGATAAATGTGCCAGACGTGCTGTTCGCAAAACATTTCTTTTGACACACAACAGTAACACGAAAAACTTTGTTCATTTTCGATCCCAACAAGCACAAAGCCTTCTGCCACACTTCTCGGAAAAAGTGATGTATCCTCCAGAAACAAGCTCTAAGGCACTTTTGTCACACAGAATTGGCAAGCTTTGCTGGACGCTTGTCAACAGGAGTGCCGCTACGTGCAACTGCCGCCAGTGACCACCAGAAACATTGGCTTTTTTTTAAAAGACCACTGCGTAAAATGCAGCTCCCAAATCAGTGGTTGAAGCACAAACACATCTATGCTGCATTATACAAATACAACACTTCCCGCACGCGAAAGTGAACAGAGTCCACGGAGTGAACTATGAAAGTACAGCATGAACTCGGGAGGAAACTGACCTGAGCTATCATCATACAAACATAAGTATATCAGCAGTCATTGCAGCATGCCGGGAAAGGACAACCGTGGCTCCGACAGAGAAAAAGACTGCCACCTCAATAATGGCATGCTCAACAAGGCTTCTACCCCACTAAACAAAATGTTGCTGAGTAGCAAAGCCCAGCAATCCATACAATGCTCGTAACTGCCAACAAAAAGTGTCTCTCCGGTAAGAGAGATTTAGAGATTGCTTTCGTAGCATGCTCCCGTCACAAACAACTCCCGTTAGCTGATGACTCACAAAAAAACAATAGTAGTCTTCTATGTACACAAGTAGATATCTGGAAGAACTTGACTGTCAATATCAAACAGGACGGAGAAGGGGAAAATACAACTCTAAACATTGCAATGTAGAACTACTAACAGCTATTCAAAGTTTGGTAGAACACGACATTCCCAACAATGACAACAGTACAGCAGAAGTTAGAGAAGAATTGCTGTTTACGGTAAGTTTATCGTGAAACTCGTCATCCTTACACCAGACCACGAAACAAAACAATGTTGCCATAGGAAAGGTGCGAGTTAAAAGCAGTAGCGTCTCAATTATGGAATGTTTAAATTGCGATCCTTCACCAACGATGCTTGGAACCAACGAGCTGCAGTGCTTTCACAACTGCACCTCATATCGCAACATAAAAACTTCTTGTGTATCAAGTTTTGCACAAAATAAAAAACAGACAACCTCTTGACCAAAGTGTAAAAAAAGCATGGGGTCATCTAAATGGAATTGTATAACAAAGTGGAAATTCATTCATAAGAATGCGTGCATGTGTAAAGCGTTCAGTAGGAAAAGCTAGAAAGAAGCGTCCTGGCATAACAGGAGGAACCTAATGATGCTAAACGGCAAGACAGATCAAGTAAAAAACAAGAAAGAAGAAGCGAGAAAAGTGCTACAAAGCTGCTGCTATGTCGTAAGTGCTTCTGACAGCTTCATTAAATGCCGACAAATAGGTCAGAAACAATGTACATCGCTGAAGAAACACTGCAGACAGACACTCAACAAACAACAAACTGTTTCATAAAATGTCTGGCAAACCACTATGCTTTGTTCTGTAAACGACTGGTGTATAGCTAGCCGAAGCATGTATTTTAGATCCTCTCTAAAGCATCAACGTTACATGCACAATGTACACTAGCCATCTTTAACATGCTATTAACAGCTGCCAAGTGCTCAGTGCAGACATACAAAGAAAGGTGCATCTCTTAAGTGGTTCAACCCTAAGCTACTCACAACGCAGAAGCTATAAAATGGTAAAAGAGCTTAAAATGTCCATCTATGGCATGAGCTTGGCAGTACACATGAAAAGCCAAACATTTGGCCCAGGGGACTGAGAAATGCAAACTCTGTTATCACAACACTGTTTTGATCCTTGATGGCTTTGAACAAATACAACTTCTCGTGTGCTGCACCTTGAACGTTGTATTTTGTTCTAAATGCTGCCGCACGCATGCTTTGACACATGGCATGCTTTGTAGGTACGTACTAGAGGCAAGCCACTTCAGTATGATCATGACAGCTAATCGACCACTTTGATTCCAACTCTGTTGCAACACTGCCACAGTAAAAGCTCTACCGGAATAGGAAGATACATACGAAACTTGAGCATATGTCAATGTCTGAAGAAAATAAACACCTTTTCCTTTGTTGTCCTTGCTGCTTCAAGGCTTCCACAACCATCGTAAAGTGAGGCATACAGAAAAGGCTCCCGAAATGCTTGCACAACTGCTGTACTGAACTGATTACCGAGTTTGCGTTCAGTTTAACTTTATTATAATGATTTGTCGGACAGCAAATCTAAAGTTTGGTGACTTTTTATCGATATTACTGTGTGTGCAAACAGTAGATATAATAAAAGTATTTTCACATTAATTAGTGGGTCTATTATGTGTAATAGCAGTGATGCACTCTTATGATGCATTTTCTTATGATGACAATGGCTGGCTATCGATAGTGATAAATGCACACAAGCTAACGAGAAAGAGGTCGTTCTTAAGTTTTCTTGAACTTAAATTCTTAGTCAAACTTTATAACATACAGTCTACTGAATCACAACAAGATAAAAAGTCTGTCTCATCAAGTTGTTTGATAGTTTCAGGTTAGTGGAAAAATGATTCACATTAGGGCTTAAAAATCAGCATATTAATTTACAAGACTTACTGTGTAATGCTTTCTTGCTGCAGACGGCTAGAGATGGTTCCGTTTGAAAGCTAAAAGCCACCTAGTTTGAACTTCTGTGGCGTTCTACGCATTTATGTTGCCTGGTTAGAATTTAGGTAGTCACAGAACACCTGGGTCGAGCTAGCATCTATTGTTGTGCCTCAGTACGTTGTCAATAACATGTCAGCTTCATCATACATGTCGTTATGCATGATTGACACCTAGCTGCATGTATCTACCAGTTGACGTTTGGCACAGCAAATGCATAAATGCTGTACAGACTCTAAACATGCTGTACAGATCCGATGTTGCAAGATCCTCATAGCTGAGAAATGCTTAACAAAAACGAGAAACCAGCACTAGTCCAGGGTGCACTGAACAGCCTTGACAGCAAGCAAGGACTAACCCAAGTTTTCATTATCGGAGCTGCAACAGTGTCTTAAGTTTTCCAGTAATGAAAAGCTTCACGTCAGCCTGTTCATGAAGGCCACTAGAAACATGCCAACACACAAAAACATCTATAGATTGGATTACAGTGCAACATTGGCCGTGATAGGGCTAGTCCTTTTTCTCAGATAACATCTTTACTGCAAAACATTAAGGTGGCACTCGGGTATGCTTACATGGCAGTTAAAAGAAATGTAGTTCACTGTTGTTAGCATCTTGTAAAAAGGCAGGCAGGTTTCAATGACACACGACGAAAACAGTGACCACCCAAGAAGGGTGTGGAAATGCCGTGGCATCGTACGCCATGGTTTATCAGCACTTCAGTAAATGCTGCATTTAAAAAGTGTTCCACTAATCCTTAAGCTACAGAATGACATCTCAAAAATAAAGCAAAAATAAAATTTTATGGTTTGATGTGCTATGACTTGTAAGCCATCAACACAAGCTAATTTTTAGAGGGTAAAAATATTCATTCTCATTATAAAGAACAATATTTTAAGTTCCCTGCCCTTTGAAGTTGAGAACAATGGTAACCTTTAGAGTATCTATATGTAAACACTTTTGAAACACCAAGTAATGATATATGAAGAAATATAACTTTATTGTTTAGAATACAAGAGGTGAAAAAAATAATAAAATTGAAAAGAATATCTCATTTCTCATCGTAATGATAGAAGGACTGAGGAGTTTGTTCGGTTAGCCATTTACTTCGAGATTTCCAAAGAAAATATACAATAGTTCTAGTATCGTTATGAAGAATACTACACTTCTGCCTCTATCTGTCCACTCAATGATGATCTTGATTGCTGCAAGGCTCTGCCGGAAGATTAATTACCTCTCCTTGGCTGTGAATATTGTCAGCATGTATTTATGGACACTACTTGGACAAGAATAGAAAAGCCAGTGCTGTTCTCTGTCATCCGCACTGATAATGTACAATAAATGGCAATGCTCAAGGCATGTTGGGAATGCATCATGTAACCCGGTATGTTTTCACCAAGAGAATAAAGGGATAAAGCAATTTGCTGCCTACCCATTGATGTGAAGTGATATGAGGTAACTGCAGCATGGACACACTGTAAGCGAACCTCTATTGCACAGATTCACTTCTTTTTCTGTTCGTTCAAAGTCACACACAGATTTATGAACTTCTCCACATGAATAGAGAAAGCACTCTTGACGCACTCTTGACGCACTTTGACAGCGCTGTTACATCAACTGACAACAAAGCCTGGCAGCTGTTGGCATTGCATATCGCACTTAGACAGGCTAATTAGGGAGAACGCTTTCAGGAATGACCGCTCGTGCTATCGCACTTCAATGCCTGGGTTGACGAAACAACAAATTGATGCCACACTAAACACCCACTGAGCTCTCCCTCTCAAAGCAGTCAGCGAGGAAGGTGCAGCACACTGTCCATTTCGTCGCCTGCCACACAAACACAGCAACAGAAGCAGGGGTGGATAGCAGACAATACACACACACTGCTTGAAACCAGACTCTTGCACTTGGGCGGGGCCAGTAGGGTTGTGTTCAAGCAAGGATGATGCAGGGATGATTTCTCGGTTTCCCGCGGGTAGAGGATAACGAGGGTAACGCACTGTCCTGTCAACTTTTCATCGCCCGCTAGCGCGCAACAGCAGAAGCAGGGGTGATACGGCGGGTGAGGTGTGCCCCCTTAAAAGTATCGGAATTCACCTTTCTTCCCCTGTCGCTCGCGACGGACCCAGTCGGCCGGAGCAGGTGGCTGGCGAGGTCCGCCTCCACGCGGACTTCCCATGCCAAGCCCTGATGAACTCATCGAATCTCCCCCAAGGTCATGAGGTGGGGAGGAATCGCCCTGCAACATAATGTGATAAACAGGAGAGTTACAGACAATGCTAACTTGTACACACTGTACTGTAGCATGCAAACCTGTACATGTAAGTGAAACAGGTTTGGACAATGCAGTGAAGATGAGCAGTTCCATTCTCAGCTCTGAACAATTTTGCAAACAGGACTGCAATACAAATGCCTCGTTTTCCCTGTATGGCTTCTCCTATTTTTTTTAATCATAGCTGGTGTACAGACAAGGAGAAAATGGGGAAGCAACTGGGCACACAATATTGACATGACAGAGCTCAGTCCAGCAAATCATTTTGCTAATACTATGCATGGTTTTACTGAAGTAGACTAAAAGACAAGCCAACAAGTATGATCGCTTTTTCAGAAACTACTTTGCCCTGGAGCAATGAAAAAAAACTAACACTGTCATCATGGCAAACAGCAGACCACTTTTGAAGACACTGGATTTTTTTTTTCTCTTTTTTCAAGGATTGATGATCACCTTTTCTTTCCTTTGGAGTAATGTCACTCCACAGATTATTAGTAATAAGATCACGGTGAATGAGACAACACTTTGCTGTACCTGAGTAACCTTTTTTTGTTCCATTAGTGCGACACCTTGCGGCAGTTGCGAGCCCTGACGTAGTGTGCCCACGAGCATGCGCGGCCCAACAGACATGCATATCTGCTTTGTACAAGAGACAACGTTGAAAGGTGTGCTTGTTTAACCAAAGAAGTACGCTCCCTCAGGGCACTTTTGGCACCTCGGTTCCAAAAGATGACACGCCTAGCAAGGTTGCCTGCTTGCGCACTATACACAGATGTGGAAGCCGCTGCACAGGTGCATCAAGTGGTTCGTTTCATCGGCATCTTCTGCCTGGAGTACATGACAGACTGCTAAATATTGCTACAGCACCTACCCCTCCTGCAACACACGCATGTAGCTTTGTAGCATTTGCTGCTGCTGTAACTTTGCCTCGACATTGTCATGAGTTGGCAAGTCCGCTCCACTGCTTCAATTTGTGCAAGTGAAAAGGCAGTACACACATTATGCATTAAATGCTGCATTGTATAGCTCATGACTGTCTAGCTGAGCATCGACCACATCTTTGAATACTTGGTCAGGGAACGAATGAATGGCAATAACTAGCTGCCATTAACCAAACTGGCTCGTGACTCATGCAGAGGCTAGGCTGAAGGCAACCAAGTGCTCATGTTTGTTGTTACCTCAAGGCCCATGTCAGCAAATGCTCCACCAGGCGGATAAGGAGAGCGGTTGTAGTTCTCCCGACTTGAAGAGCGCTCATATCCAACACTGCCGGAGTCGTCAAGATGGCATGGTGTGACGATTGTGTGTGGCACATGGCCAACCTGGCCTCGTATGTTGCGAGTCTTCCACCACTTGCGGCTGTCATCTAGAATCTGCAATGAATACAGCTCAACATAAAACTACGACTCATGTTCAAGGGTGTTCCATATCATTACAATACAGTGGACTCTCATTAAACGGAACCTGAAGGGACCGGGAAAATGTGTTCCGTTTAACAGGAGTTCCATTTACTGAGAGGTGAACTGAATTGCAGTATGCAGGGATGAAACCGATCATATCAGAGGCAGTTGTTCCATTCAAGCAGCAGTTCTATTTATCAGATTTCCGTTTACTGAGAGGCCACTGTATGGCTGTTGGCAGCGGATTGTGTGTACGATAACCTCAATAATATTGCACTCACAGCAAGATGTGCTGGAAACACTACTACATAAATAACACTACCATGTGTCCATCTACAAAACAGCGCTATTATAGACATGGACAAGGGAACACACAAAGACGGATGCTGCCTTGCGTGTTCCGTCCTTGCGTGTTCCCTTGTCTGTGTTCAAAGTAGCGCTGTTTTTTTTTAATGGATCCTTATCAACGAGCTCATTTCCAAGCACTTCTAACTCACTGTCATGAGCTTTTCTCAAATGTAAAATAGCACTGCTTCTGGTATTTGTTTGACAGGCTCTTTGTTAAAAACTAACCACATTGTGGGGTTTGATATATAAAAGTGGCACAGCGGGTTACAAGGAACGCCGTAGTGAAAGACTCCAAATTAATTTAGAGTGCCTGAGATTCTAGGTATAAAGGGTTACTAAATATGCTTTTCATTGTGGTGAGGGGAGGTGCTCATGCACACAATGAATGAATGATACGCAAGTATGACCTTTTCCATTCGGTTCCTCATGGAATATGGCTGCCATGGCAGACGAAAAGTCTTCTATAAGATGAAATGTTCTACAATGTTTCATTAGACGACAAGTTGGCATGTTGTCCTGATTAACGGGTAACAAAGTTTGAATTGACGAGAGCTTACAGTATGGTCAAAGTACCTTTGGCTTGGCAAAAATGATTTCTATTTAAAGGAGCACTGACATCAAATTTAATCATGCCAAGATATTTGTGTCAGAGAGTATCCATAGACCCTGTCGCAGCGATTCGCAACCTAAAACGCAACTGAAGGATAAATAAATATCACTTTTATTGATTTATATCACTGGTATCTAGCACTATTCAAAACGGCCGGCAATCCCGCCATTCTCAGGTGCTACCTCGCGGTCTCCTTCAGATCACGCCACAGCTGACCACTTCTCCACAGAAAAGAGTGACGTCAGGCTCAGCTGCTCCACAAACATTTCGTGCTTCGATTGACCTTTTGCAGAACAGTGATTTTGAAATGGACGCCGTTCCAAGCAGCACTGCAGAGGTGCCCGAGGATGCACGCTTCAGCCATGTTCGCTCGTGTGTCTCAGTTAGCTATATTGGTGTGTTTTGGAGTGCAAAGCATTCAGGTATACGCAGAGGGGTCAATGCAATATAGCTATCGCGAATGAGCATCAGCGGAGATAGAATACATTTCTTGCTTGCCAGGTTTTTTTTTTGCGCTTCCAGATGGCCCCATCTATCCAGCCTCTCGTGGATAACACGGTATTACCACTTTTATGCGGACGCAATGTCTACAGATGAACTAAACTTCAACGATACCTGCGTGTTACTTGTTAGTGATGATATCTGACTATATGCTGTTCCACTTCTGATAGATTGTGGTCTTGTTGATGAGTAACACATACGTGATCTGAAAACACACCCTCATTGCGCTTTTTCCATGCTCCGAATTAGACAACTGCAACACACCTGCAACTAACAACGATTCTTCGAAATGCTGACCGACAAGTACACGTTTAATCATGCTCTTTTCTTTCGCTGTTCTTTTAAAGGTGGTTTTTATCATGATAATTTTACGAAATCATTCAAACCGGTGCAACGAAGATCAGATGCGTCGAGTGAGTGCGTTTCTGTGCTTCAGCACCAGTCGGCACCACAATAAGAACACTCGGATCGTACACGTCATCGCTACTAGGGCATCGTCACTCAAGATGGTATTTGTGGAATGTATCACATTGAACACGTAGCATTAGTGTTGATGTCGCAGGGAAGTCTATTTTCCGTTTTTTCTTTTTAGCTTTTCTACGCTGTTTGACATCGAATTAAAATAATTTCCACACGATGGATGCCATTCAAATTTGGCCAAGAAGATCTATGCATACCAAGAGATCGAGGGCACATTTTGATCTTGAAATTTGATGTCAGTGCTCCTTTAATATTTCTAAGTAGAGTCCAATTTGACTTCTGCAGGAATGTAGTACAGCAGTTGGGGGAAAGAACATACCTCAAGGAATTCTCCCCGCACTACGGTTAGCTCCTTGTCATTGTTGGCAGTACGGGGGTAAACCACTTGTACTATTTTGGCTCCTTGGTCACGGAGGGCCTCTGCCCATGCACGCCACTGCCTTTGTGGATCACCTCCTCCGGCTTCCATAGAGTCGACACTGAGCTCCGAGCGTTGGTCCCGTGGGTCATGAATGTCTGACTCAGATGGAGTCTGTGCACCAGGCCTGCAAAATTTAACACCATGCCATAGAGTTAACTAAACATTACCAAGTTAGAAATGTGGCATCACAAGTTTCTTATAGGGGTAGATCATCCAGCGTGGCAGCAGTGGGTGGTATGGCTGCTAATATTTGCTTTGTTACCGCTCCCCATCAGCTGTGACTCGTCCTTAATTCAAGTCCACTGCAGCGTAATTGTCTCTGAGAAACCTACAAGTATTTTTGACCTGCATTGCTTCCACTGGTATTGTAGAATGCGGCAATACTGAAACGCAAAAAACAATTACGAAACAGCAGTATGTGTAGTTTTATTTGAACTAAGAAACCACATGCTGTTCCAAGTAATATAGGAATAATACATAGTAATAGCATAAGGATAAATAAACTGTATTATGGTCCCTCGGAGCACACTCTAGCACGTTGCGTGCCACTCCCATGTTGGAACAAAAAAAACCTCTCTGCTCAGCAAATATTTAAGAATGCTTCACCAAGTAGACGTAGTGTGCAGCTACTCATCTTGGAGGTGTCAGCTAGCAAAGAGCGCAGATTGAGATAACGACATACAGCATACAATCATTAAGGTGTTCGTCATGTTGTGGTGTGCAGTTGTGCTCTAGATCATCAGATGAACCCTAACAGTGACAGTTCAATTACTTGCCTTTCCATGTGGTCGCGTGGTGAGAAGCCTCGATCGTAAGGCGAAGCCTGCAGCGGTGCCACGCGTTCACTGAGATAGTCACTGCCACCATAGCGGCTGTCTATGTCATGTTGTGATGACACGACGTTTCCACGATGGGGGTGGTAATCGGGAACATCGCGAAGTTCAACCTGTGCACAAGTGGAGAAAAGGGATGTGCACGTAAACAAAGGTGGTTGGAATGATTACGCAGATAATACTGTCAGTGTTTCTCATGGAGGAATAATAGTTTCACAGATCACGCATTTTTATGTTCCTGATTTAAATATATAAATATTTTTCTAGTAAAATAGGCATTTTTTAAGGAGTATGAAACACTTCATGTACCTCGCCAGGAGTGAGATTTACTTCTAAACTAACCAAGTTTTAAAGAAAATCAGCATGTCACAATAACTTGGAATATATACTGTATGTAATAAAACAAGAATTAAAGTTCCAGGCCCCTTTGAACAAAAGTTATGATATGTCGAACTTTCATTAGCAAAATTTCAGCTCAACATGATTCGCATGCAAATGTTCAAAGTACCATAACTTTCGTTCAAATAGGTCTAGGATACCCATTCTTGCTTTACTGCAATACAGTAGACATTCCAGGTTATTGTGATACACTGATTTGCATTATAACCCTCATAGTTTAGAAATAAATCTTGCTGTAATCCGTACAAAAACTATTCTTCAATATTTTAAAAGCTACATATATTGAAACAGTAATAGCGTGTTTGAAATAAGCACATAAAGTACCTCAACTGTAGCTTATGTTTTATAAATACCTACTAAAAAACAAACAAAATAAAATGTTTCTAAAGCAGGGTCTCCCCTTAATCCACTTGTGCAACCATGAAGTCATACTATTTTGTGACTGGCAGTGTTTGTATTCATCAACCATCACTTTTGTACACAGACTGATACATTTTGGGATGCAACATGTACAGATTCATAGGCTGCTTCTCTGCCTGTTATGAGACTGCAGATGAGGAACGTTTTTCCGATGAATAATTATGCGTCAAACTTAGGGAATAAACTTCTGTGAGTACTTGGCTGCTGCTTTAATATGTTTATAGCTTTGAAGCTTTGACAATCTGTTTAAAATTTACAATTTCAAGAACCTGAGCTCGCACTCACATGACATTTACTAGGCAAGTGTACTAGTCTGGTACTGGGCTTGCCACCAGTGCCCAGCACTGTGACTCCTGTGAGTTCACCACCCTGATTGCCAACACCTGAACCGCTGACAGGTGGTTTGAGATTTTACTCCAGGAAAGTTTAGCATTTTGCAAATACAGGTTTGGGTACCTGTTATTGAAAATCCACACGACCAAGTCATTACTAAATATGCAAAGAAGGCTAACAAAATGCTAGGGACTGATACTGTGACATGGTTGTGATGGTGAGGAACGCAGTAGCCAGAACATTAAAGGCCAAGCTCTTTATTGGGGGAACTTGCGCCTAGCAAAACAAAACACTCATAGCACTGCAGATAGTTGCGGGCATTGTAACCTTATTTTAAAGTCTACCGCGTGGGTTTTTTTAATTCAAGAGCCACGATACATTCCAGCATAGTCTCTGGTGCTTGCGTAAATTCCAGAATAAACTACTTAAGTTGCAAATGCCAATTGTCAAAAACATACGAAAATGTTCTATCAGGGCACAACTTGTGCCATATGGTAATGTGTATAACAGCTTCAGCTTGTGAAAGCTGGTCACAGTGAAGAAGAAACAGTATGCTTTGAATTCAGTTCCATATAACAATTTGTCAAGGGATTGTATGTCATCTAGACAGCATCACTGCAGGAGCACGACTTACCTCTTCTTGTGACCGTCGGCGCATACGAGGTGGCTGAGAGGGTGGAGGTGCCTGATCGTCAGACCCGCTACAGTCAGGCGCCCATCCATCCGAGAAGACTGGCTGATAGCTCTCCGACTCATAACCTTTCCACATGTCCCGTGGTACCACCCAAGCGTCGCCTAGGCTGCAGGCACAGACAGTGCGAATAATGTTCAGTAGCAGTGGTAGTGGAACAACTTGGTAGGGGTTCACAATTATTATAGTTATCGTCAGTGTTTCGTGTTTTTCGTGGCACAATTTCATAATCATGAGAGCAAATAGGTTGAATTCCTACCTTTACAGCAAAAAGGGACAACAAGCACAGTTAGACATTGCAAAAAATAAAAAAAGTCGGAGTTTCGCAGCAAGGTCGTAGCAATGAATGCAATAGTAAGAAATCGGAATGTCACACAAAGAACGAAAAGGAGCTCCAAACTTGCTGCACATCGCTGAAGCGCAAAAAAGGATTCTCGAAAACAAAACACAGGTATACAGAGGACAAGTGCAAACTAACAACTGTTAAAGTAGTTATGTCTTTGTATTTGAGCAGTGCTTTTCAGGGGCGTAGCACCTTAAGGGCGAGGCCTGTCTCATAGCTACATCATATGGGGCACCACTCCAGTAACACTCTGTTAACATATGATATGTGAGACACAAAAAAGCTTTAACAATAGACTAATATCAATCATAATTGTGACAGAACAATATAAAACACCCACAGCACCAACCCTTTATACTAGTTGGGGAGTTTGGCGCAGACATTTAGACCTTTGAACCTAGCTTTGTCATTCACTTTTTATGTCACTTTGTCATTTTAGGTCACTTTATGTCACTAAATTTGCATTACCCTGTTTACTCACGTAATCCTCGCACTCGCATAATTTTTGCACCCCCCACATCATCCAACAAAAATACGATTTCTTTTTTTCCTTGAGTAATTATCGTACCCCCGAAAACTACCGCAATAATGTCGTCTGCTCGTTCCAGCCACTGATGATGATAGCGCACGCCATCTCTGAAGCATCAAGCGTACTATTATTGCACGGAGATTCGATTCAATCCAAGCCAAGCCAAAGTGGCAAGTGCTCGTTGCGGCGTGTTTGGAATTTTTTCTTTTGTATAATTTGTTTTTGCCTTTTTTATTTGTACATATACAAGACATCACGGTGACTGCAAAAATCCACTGAGAGTGTTCATATAACTGCTATCACAATAAAATGAAAGTACTGGTAAAATAAGTGACTGGGAGATGCCTAGTTCATGAAGCTTTCAGCTGCAGCAAGACATGTGCTGCTTGCTTTTCTGCTATGGATATGTGCCCCGGCGTCCAAAAGATACTTGCATCTTTGAGGTCGCACTTGAGGAGAACTTTAAGGGCTGATCCTTTCAGGAATATTTTTCTTGTGAATTTGTCACGATCGTTATTGATGGAGAACTTGTTCTGATTGCTGATATAATACCCAGTTAGTCTGGGTGCAGGTGGTCCCATCATATGCATGTGTTGAAGTGGCAGCGAGCTGTCCACCCGATTCATCCACCACACTGGCTACATATTTGCTTATCCTTCAGTTCAGTATTCAGCAGCATTCGTTTGTTGTACCCTCCAATTGTTGCTATAGCTCGCTAGACTGCTGTAACAATTGAGCTCGTGCTTTTATTGTTCCCTTGCTGGTGCATGTTCCTAGGGTTTTTATAAGCATGGTAATTTACCTAAATTCGACCCTCATGTTAAACTCAAACACCGAAATATATAACTTCTTTTTTTTTTTCTGGACGCAATGAAAATTTGATGCACTACAATAGAGTAAATACGGTAAGTATTAGTTAAAGCAAGTATACCAATTATTGCATTGATTAAGGGAGCTTGGCAGTACCAAGGATTCACACCCGGGTGTTTATTATCTCTTGCGTTATTCGTTTCTTATTTATTTGACTGACCTGTGCCAGAGGTCACTCTCCTTGGACGTGCAGCAGTTGGCCAGCAGCTCAAGTGCGTCCCTCGTCAACAGGGGACTAACCACACGTGCCGCCAGGCTAGCACCTGTGCCGGGACGGCCACAATCTCGCGCCTGCGTCCACAATAACCGCAAGAGGAGTAAACAGGAAGTGAACCAGTTCGGGAGAATTTGGCTCGTGGATGTGGTTCTTCAGTTTGGCCTGCGACACGATGAAACATTAGTAGTTAGAAAGTTCACTGCAGCCAAATCAAGCTTAAACCGGAAGCGTTAGCTGACTGAGTGATGAACTGTTCAATTGGATTCTACATTAATCTTCAATTAATCACACATGCACCTGTACAGAGTGGCAATCAGTCAATTTGTGAAGCTTTCATCCCCCTTTCAGGCTGAAATAATATCTAAGCATTATACTTCCAGCCTGCACAAAAGGATAGGTGCAAGCAGAGAGCTTGTGCAACTGGATTTAATAACTCTACCAAGGAAATTTTCAGTGGGCTTGAATGCTCCCCAGCTGATTCATTCACATCTTCTCAATCAGCACTCACAGAAATGTTTTGCAAACAGAAATGTTTTGAAATGTTTTGTTTGTGATCAAGGCCATGGAGTAAAATAAGACAGGAGTGCCGACTCCGGTCATCTGGAAGGGACATATTGTGCGATGCTACTTCCTGTTTCATGGCGTGTTCACCAGATGGTGCTACAAATAGAGAAAGTGGCGGAAGAGAGGCACCACGATCCTCAAGGTAGTCGTGGGCAGGGTTCTCATTGTCGTTGCTATAGCAACGGTGCATAGTCACACTTTGCCACATTCCTATGTCTACATGCCCGCATGTTTCGTTGTGTGCTTTACTGATAGTTGCTCCCCGCTGCCGGTCTCTGCCAGTCAGCGCATGCACTCATGAGTGGAGGTGTAGAACGATTTCCTCATGCCTCGACAGTTGGAGCTACATGTCAGAATCAGCACAAGGCGAGTAGGAAGCAGGTGTGAAAGCACGAAGAGGAGTGGAGCGTGAGAGCGAAGGAATGAGTCAGACTGCTGCATCTGTGTCGCACAGTTTGTCCGGAGTGAATGCCCTGGGCGGTTGCGGAGTTGGTTCTCCTCGCTTACTTTACTCTGCGGTCAAGGCCTGCTTCACTTTAGCAAGGATGCCGCTACTCGAGCAGTGCCTTAGTTAGCGATGTCTTGTGTGTTAAGTTCTTTGTGCAACACTTGAGCTCACGATATTGTAATGTCTTGCTTTATCTATGCAGCACACATTACTGTTGAGGGATTATCGTTGTCTTGGACAGCCATGAATTACATGTCAACAAAGGTCTGGACCCCATTGGAATTCTGCTTTCATGCGAGTAAGCCCACTGTGCCTTCCTCAGTTTGCTGAACATATTGTAACTGCCACAAAGCTAGAAACATGGAAAAAAGGGGACGACAGAGACAGACGAGTGCCAAACCAATTGGCGCTCATCTGTATCTTTCCTCCCCTCTCTTTCAGGTTTCTAGCTTTGTGGCAGCTACAATATGTTCCACAAACTGAGGCACCAATTCACCCAAAAACAAGTTCTTCTAGTGCCTTCCTCAGTTTCCCTACCTGCCATGGTATCTAAGTGGCAATGGTGTCAGCCTGCTGATAACGAGGGTGCAAGTTTCATTTCCTGCCACAGCGGCCGCATTTTGATAGGGAAGAAGTGCGAAAAGACCTGTGCATTAGTTTCAGTTGCACATCAAAGAACCCCAGGTAGAACAAAAATCTAGAACCCACTCTTCCTTCCATCTTTGGAAAAACATGCAGACATTTGTGTTTAGCAGCAAGAATGATGTCATAGAACAGACAGGACAGCGGTTCAAAAAAAGAAGAGAACAGGTTCTGGCCACTTACCAGAAGGTTGAAGGACAGTTTGAACTTCTGCAGGATGTCAACAAATTCTCTATCTGGCGGTGGCTTGGCACGCATGCTCAGCATTCCATCTGCATTGTCAAGGTGTGTCGTAAAAGCTCATGCATGGCTGTCTGACTTTGACTCTCTACAAATATTTCAAGTAAAAAACGGAAAAGGCCAATTATCTTGTTTTGAAAGGAAGAATATCCTTATAATACAGAAGCTCCTCGAAGGCAAACACAAAACAGCATAAAAATTGTTGGAGGGCACTTGAGCTTTGCCTTCAAGAGCAGATCACGATAGCGTAACCTGGCCTCGTGCACCTCTTTGGAACTGCTAACCTGTTTCAGTCATCGATACATGTCTCAACCATGCCGTAGGCAAACGAACGACTGTGCGCCTAACATTGACCATTTCAGAGTATCACTGAATGTCTATTGCAAGCACAGTTCATTAGTGCCCCTAACACCATCATTATTTCTTTTGCGAACCCCCAAGGGCCCACTATGTGCCTGCAGGGCAAATGTGTCTGAGCACTTTTTAATGGGTTGGTCTTTGGAGCACCCACTCGACGCTCAATTCTCATCATTTGACGCCTGGCACGATTCTTCTATGCAATATATGAGACTCCTTGCACTACATCACATTCATTAGTGTTTTTGTCCCAAGCAGCTTCAATAAATGTCCTGGCTCTGTGGTGGAACGCCCGCTTTCCATGCAGATCGCCTGTGTTCAATCCTCACTCCAACCCAAAAATGTTCATTTATTTTACATTGAACCTTTGTCGTTTTTTCGGCCAAGGACAAGAGAATCGCTTTTAACTCACAATTAACAAGGCCATCACCGACGCTGGCATTTCTGCAAAACGAGCTTTTGAACGCTATAGCGTTAAAAATTTCCTCACTTAAAATTTAATTCCACAGCAGTGTGCTGTATCCATGGGAATCTAGGCAATGTTCCAAAATTTTAGCCTGTATGTCAGAAAATTTTAACAAGACTGTTCATGGCCTAGTTTGTATTCACTTAAAGACATAATTTAGCCACAACAAAAAACACAACAGAATGTGCTGCTTGCATAGTGGCCGTGTTCTTTCTTTGCTTATGTTTTACTTTGCAGATAAATTGTGTTCATCAGAAAATTCATTTGCTTTCATAGTAAAAATGAAGTAACATACAACATTGAATGCTTTGGTACTACTGCTGCCGAATGGTTATTGAAACATTAACATTTCACACTTGCTCCATTATTCAGCCAGCTTCTACAGAAAACTGTTGTGAAGAGACCACCAGTTATTCAACACTCAGAGTGCAGTCAAACTCTGTTTCCAGGCGACAGAGAGTTAACGCAAGCAATTATAGCAGATCGATCAATCTGCCGTAACTACAGTCAAAATATAAACTGACCAGGTTGTATGGAAGCACGTATGCTAGTTAAATATGAAGTCACTTAAACGTGATATTTCATAGTAAGTATTCAAACCTTTAAGCCGTTTTCACCAATTGGCCATCAAGTGCATCTAGTCAATGGCATTGCTCTCGAAAACGACTCTGATGCCTTCAGTTTTTTTTCTTTTGCCGAATTCCTACATGCAACTGCTCTTTTGCATAATTTTACGTTGCCAAATCCACTTCTATTATGTACTTATGTAAATTGTCTGTTACACTTATAACCACTGGCTTGCATAAGCCACATCCAATTGTCTGGAACTTTCCAGATTATTCTGAAATCTTCCGATAAGCTTGAGAGTGCAGCGAGAACATGTCTGGACCTAATGCGGCCACCATCAATAAGGCTGGAGTCCTTGATGCGGCATGTATAAATGCTGACATTTAAACATAGGAGATAGAGGAGAAGTTCTGAAGGTGCCACTTGCCTCCGAGATCCTTCTTTTTGTTCTTGCGTGACTTGCGGCGACGTTCGAGTTCTCGGTAGGCTGCGGCAGCATGCTGGAGTCGGGCGAATGAATCGTTCGATGTCGTCAAAGCAGTGGTTAAGGATGGCCTGAAAAGTAAAACAACAATAAGTGAGAATGCATTGTTTAACAGTAGTCTCACATTACTACGCAGTTCTGAATGATGAGAGAAAAAAAAAGAGGGAGGGGGACATTTGCATAAGATTTTCAGAAATGGCTTTGATGGCTTTTCACAAAGTGCTATTGCGCCAATGCAGCGAGCACATGCATCTTGCTAAATTGAAACCTTACTGCATTTAATTTATGCTGACTGTTTCACTAAACATGACATCACATGTGAGGTACAAAATGTGTGAATGGTATTGTTAAGCTGCATCGCATAAGCAAACTGCTAGTTCGAATGACATGACATGAATCACACCTCTATATATTTTTCTTTTATGCTTGACATGGAATCTTTTAGTCACAAATGTGAGAATGAAGTGACTCTTATAGCACTGCCTGCCACATATCAAAGGGAGCATACTGTTTCTGAAAATTTAAATGAAAGTGAAGGCGTTACTTACCACGTCGCGTTCGTACTTCTCGCTAGTTGTCGAGCTGGTCTCATCATTAGATTCGCGCGTATAGCCGATCCCACGCGCGTGGTGTGCGTCTATCTTGTCATGAGGTGGTGGTCCCCCACGGAGCATGGGACCGTGTGAAGGTGGCGGCGGAGACCCCTGTGACACAGCAGCTGCATTGAAGATGCTGACTTGCTCGCGCACATTGATGCCGCCGCCGTTGACGGGGGGTTCGGGTGCTGTCACATTTGGTGGTGGCGGCAGGCCTGACCCTCGATCGTGACTGCTGCGTCTACGCAACCAATAGGGAGGGTAAGAGAACTCTTTCCTAAACTGTTGTTCAAGGAGGATTGACCACAGATCTAATATGCCTCTTAGAATTGGTGCAAAAGAAGTCTTTCTTACTACATTTCAACAAAATGATATGCAAGGCGACACGATGACACATGCAATAATATGTTAGTTCTGCCTGTGTGCAAAAATTTTTTACATTTATTTTATCACACAAGTTCTTATGTTTTTAGATTTGCTGTGAAGCACATGTTTGCTGGTATGCATATAGTATCTTGAAACATGTCCCACATGTCGCTGCCTGACACGATACCTTTCGTTTCGTGAGACAAATGATTCTTATGCTCTGCCTCAACTTATGCTCTTCCAATATGTGATCATGAGGCTGCAGACCTCCTGGTGTGACCCATCATGCGACCCACATACATAAATTGGCCCAGTTTCGATGTCATCATTTCTTGATTGACCCAGTTTACTGTTACACTGTCTCCCAAGTGTGAACCAGCTGATCTGGCAAGCCAGACATGTTGAATCCCAGGGAGATAAGTTTTGCCTTGACAATATAACCATGCGTTTTAGGTTGGATATTCGCTGCATTGAGGACATTCATGTCTGCCCCGTTTCACCGGGGACAGAGCTAGCCACTGGCTCGAGTGTAGAGCCAGTACAAATCGCAACATAAATTGGTTCGCCTGCCACACAACCATCATGTCTAATCAATAGAAAACACACTGGCACCAAACTTAGGGGCAGTAGGCAGAGCAAGCCTCACATAATGAATAAATAAGGCAGTAAAGTAACACACTAAAAAAACTCTCTAAGCCATCATTAGGTTATGGCCATCAGGCTCAGCGAGTGCACTCTCCAAAAAGCTATTCCATTCACTCTTCCTCTCGCAGCCTCGACCCAACATTTGCCCACTCATAGAAGGCGTAGTGACCGAAACATTTGTTCAGCTGCATTGCTTTGGACTAGGCCTAAAATAGACATGCATTTTGACATGGTTGTCACACACTTAGCTAATACATTTATTTTGGTTTCAACCATGTTGCGCTATGCCTTCCAGGCTCCATGGTAGTGTCTCGGGTACGTGAAGAGGAGGGCGGAGGGTAGACACGAAAAAAGATGAAGCAGACAATATAGAGAGTGTATTTTTGCTTTATGCAGGATCATATATTGCAATTTTGATATAATCAGATACTGATCACTTATTAAGCAGGCCAAAGAAACTTGTAGAAACTGTATCAGGAGTGCAAGTGTAGCAATGCACTATGTTAAGCACATGACGAAAATAGTTTTAGAGAGAAGTGCATATGTGTAGCACCTCCTGACAGTAGTGAATTGATTTCACAAGAAGTTTAGGAAGCAAATTCATTTTTTCAACGTACCTTGCCTCGGCTCTTTCCCATTATGAAGGCCTTGATATCATCCACCACTTCCTTAGCCTGGGGGAGGAAACAGACATGGTCAATGAACTCTTAATGTTTTTCAACAAACAAGAGCCTGCAGAGCAGGAGTGCAAGTTGAGCAATTGTTAACACTTTTGACAAATTAATACAAAGATGACAGTTTACTGCACTGCATCTGACTGCTAATGTGGTGGCCTTTATACATTCTCAACATCTTGCACTCTCAGCAATGTATGTCTGGCTCACTCGGAGCGCTTAGAAGTGCCCTGACTTTCATTTTGTATGACGGTGCCCTGTTCAGTGCTACAACTTCTATTGGCAACACAATGCTGCGATAGGCATGTGTGCACCCTGTATGTACACGTTTGTTCAGCCTAGGCTTATCGTGGCCCTAATCTTCACAAGATTACGCACAACTGCAGTCCAAGCTTTAGCCCGCTATTAACCTCTCAAGTGTACTATACTTAAATAAAAGCCAAGAAAAAAAGCGGCTTTTCACCATACAGGACCCCTACCATGCAATGGCACCTCCATGTCATTGTGATATTGTCGCAACTCCATAGGCATCATTAGCAGCTTTCCTGATAGCTCCAGTGCAGCATCTGAATTCTCACATGTAGAGAAGTGTTGGTGTTTTCTTTTGCATCTCTAGTGTACTTGATTTTATTTGGTTTTGCAACGTGGTGTGATCACACTGGGCTGACTATGCAAAAACTGATGAAAGCCGAGCAGCTCCCAGTTTGAATTAACCGTTGTGGATACCGATGTGATCCGAGTTATTGGGAGTTTTTCTCCAGAGAAGTACACAGGGCTGTGCTCGGATCAGGGCGTCAGTTTGAATCAACTGTAAGTTAAACAAACCAATTTAAAATTAATGAGCTTTCACTGTACGATTTTAAAGCACGGCAAAGTGTGTGGCTCCATAAATTTTGCCATATGGTGTTCTTTAACATGCACTGCCATCGAATAACACACAGCTATCTTGCATCCAGCCTCCTATCGAAACGTGACTGCTGAGGTTGGCATCAAACCTGCAACCTTAGGGTCAGCAGCCAAGCATCGTAACTGCTACACTGCTTTGGTGGAAATTTACACAAAACAAGTAAAATCGTTTGTTTCTTCAGTTGCAGCATTGGCCGAATGTGGCTGAGGACTGGAATATGTAAAAGAATGTGAATGCTGAATGTGGCTGTGTAAACTCACTGAGATGCGGACACATTGAAAGATATGCATCTCGGAGTGCTCTTGCTGGCTGGAAGAGGTTGGGTCATCTTGGACCACAAACACCAGGATGTTGTTGTACAACTCTCGTGGGTCGTCCGATGTGAAAGCTGTTGGGTCGCTGATCAGACTCATGGGAAAGCGCTCCACCACATCCTGCATGTAAAAACATGAGCAATCAGCTGCAGTAAATCTCATTGAGGAACAATACACAACTGCACATTTTATGTCGTACACATTATATGACAGTAGGAATACTGCTGTATACTTCAATGTACAGGGGTGGTTAAAAGCTGCCAGGCCATGCTGTTATAGGAATACATAAAATTGTGGCCTTGGGACGTTTGACAAACTGTGCAAATGTACAATAGTAGCTGATTGAAATGCGGAAGTTTTAAACCGATTAATGAAGATACTTTTGTCTCTAGCATCGACAGCTGGTGTCATGTTGATGTAATCTTTACTAAAACACTTCCATCGTAGCCAATTTTACTTTTGGCGGCCAGATTGGCAGTGGTGTGACGTGGTTTTCATAAGCAATTGTCAATAGAAGTCATCATTGAAAAAAAAGTCATCTCGCATTTTAATGCATCAGTACTTTATAAGCTACACATCTGCGTTGTCATTCTACGTAGCTTTACAATTAAATACGCTTTTTGTTATGATTCATAATACACTTTTTAATGTCATAGATATCAGAAGTCTCATATAAACCTGTGAATTGGTCAGCTGCATTTTACCGAGTAGATCTGCTGTTCTGGATCTTGTTTTATCTTTGAATATATTTGTTGATACTTCTCAAGTCCTTGTGCAGGACATATCTTTTTAGCCTTAGCCATTCTTTGGCTGCACTGAGCGCAATGCCGCTGTCTTGACCTATATTTGTTTGGGCAAAGTTCACCTTGTGGGCAATAGTAATACATAGCAATAACCATAACAATTGAGCAAGTTCACTCTACTTTTTCTTCACACATTGCACTAAAATGCTCACACAACTGAACTACTATTATTGCAGAGAACACTACATAAATTAGGCTAGACTGCACTGTGATATTTCCAGCCTGTTATACTAAGAAAACACTGGTTATTTAAATGAGGTATAGGTGAGGAGGACGATGTTGCTGGAAAAGTGAACCTTACCCCATTCTCACAGTCGATGATAATGACCCATTTGCGATCCAGCTTCATCTTCATCTTTTGTGTCCAGATACCCTTGGACTTTTCCATCTGAAACAACTTCCGCAACCCATCCTTTGGGGTTTCCAGGGCTGGAAAAATGTAGAGGTAATGCTGACTCACTAGGGCCTTTGTCTGTCCCTTGCTATCGCAGTGGGATAGCATTATGAATCATGCTCAGCCTGACTAACTATGTAAGCATTTCACAAGTGGTGTTAACCACGATGTTCATGTGTCTAATAGTTTCCAGCTTTGACATCAGTGCAAACTGCACATCCAAAGAGAGAAAAGAACACTGCAGTGTTTTCTGCAGCAAACCTTGAGTCGTTCACTAGGAAAGTGTGTAGCAAGTCCACTATTCGTTGTCACAAAATAACAATTATGCTTCGATACAACAAGCCTTAATCAAATGAAATCAGTGACGTCACAAGCTACACTCAGATTTTGTTGTAACAATCCCAGATATAACGAATTAATGCTTATAACTAAGTAAACCAAGAATAGCTTTGTCAAAGATACAGTGCAGCAAATACATGTTTATAACCAATTTTCGGATATAATGAAGTATTTTCTCGGCAGGTGTGACTTTTTTTAATAAGGTTTGAGTAATGTTTTCATTCCTCAGTTTTAGCTTCTCTGAAAACCAATTTTTTGCTGTTTTCACAATTTAGTGAGCAACCTTGGGCCTCAGCTTCAATTCAATGAAACCTTGATGCATCTTGAAAACAGCGCAGCAGCTACATGAGGATGAAGAAAGAAACCTGGGAATAGGTGCTGTTTATTTGCCCTCATGTTGCTGCACTGTTCTCAAGATAAATTCCAACCAACTCTGTACTACTAAATCTTGATGCATTGCATACATGCACCTATAACAAATAAAGTATTAGTAAACATTAGGTGAGAAGCAATCCATTTTCCACAGGCATGCTTTCATATGAAAATTTTGCCAGTGGGTAGCGAAAATTGAAAGACGCTCGTGCTTCGCCTTCAAGAGCCGATCATGATACCGTAATTGGGACTTGTGCGCCTTTGGACTGCTAGCCTGCCTCAGTTCTTGGTGCATGCCTCAACTGTGCTGTTAAGAAATGAACGACTGTGAACGTAGCACTGGCCTTCTCAAAGCATCATTGAATGCCTATTCAAAACATAGTTGTTAAGTGCCCATTACGCAAAAAATGAGCCTATGCAGCTGTTCACTTTGTTGATGCTTCAGCTGCTGGTGATGTATAATTATGTGTGAGCGCATGGCACTTGGAGGGCCTTTAAAACATCCACTCATTACTCAATTCACATCTTTTGACGCCTGGCACGATTCTGTGCTTCTGCCACGCAATATATGATGTGTTAAAGAGACTCGTAGCAAGGTCGAGAGCTGGGCTGATTGGTATGGTTCTATGTTATTTAAAACAGCGCAAACTACAGAACAAGAAGCAGACACAACCTTTCGCAACTGATAAGTTGATCTAAATAAGCATGAAAGAAGATATACAAAAAAAAGTGACCTGAATGAACTGTGCAATCACCACCGCGTGAGAACTTTGCCGACAAGCACAAAGGCAAGAAAAAGCAAACCAAGAAAACAACGATCAGGAAACAGCTTTCATACCAGATATGCAGCAACAAGGTATGAAAGCAAGAAAACAAAACACACAAGCCCAAGAGCATCTATCTACCCCGCCTAAAAAAAAACTGCTTTTGGTTTGCGACAACGCCACAGAAGGAGGTGATGCAACCCTTCCCAGCATTCTTAATTAAAAATTGCTTTCATAACTTCGTGCACCACATTACTGTGTCCTCAGACATAACTGTAGTTTTATCAAAAAGAAGCATGCACTTGCAAGCCTTACAGTAGGCAGCTAAATGTGACCCATAATTGGCACTTGAATTGTTTTTATGCTCTGTAAGGCGGGTGTTTAAGCAGCGGCCCGTCTGTGCGATATAAACTAGTCCACACGTCACTGGGGTATTAGATACTCCTTATGCTACATGACATTCATGTAGTGTTTTTTTCCATACCAGTTTCAACAAATACTGTGGCTCTGTGGTACAACACCTACTTGTCGCACAGATGACCTGTGTTCAATCCTCACTTGGAACCGGAAGTTTTTATTTATCTATCTAGTGTGCCCAAATCACTACCTATATGTAGCATCCTAACCCACATCAGAGACACAACATGTTACATTTTGCTTACCATACTGCTGCCCAACAGAGAAGGTGGCCAAGTGTTCAAGGAAGTACGAAGGCGCCTCCTCAGCTCCAAAGTCACTGTGCTGGTCAGCTGCAGGTATATAAAGATGTCAGTAGATTTCAAAATGTGATTTCTGTAACACTTGGCAATTCGTACACACACCGAGGTTGAATAAAACCTTAAAGGGCAAAAAAAAATTATTTGGTTGGTGTTTAGCAATCAAATAAATAAATACCAAAGAAAATAAGACTGGACTCTTGTGAAAAAAGGCTTACTAAATGACCCAAAATTAGCATGAGTGCTGCCTCGAAATTTTTATGCCAGTATGTTGTGGCATTACAGATATAGACAGCACCAAACTGGGTCTAGTTAAAAACATGGTCTGCATTGCGTGACTAAAGATATGATCAGTGAACTCGTGTGTAAAGAACTTTTACTACTTAGAACAGCAAGTATGTTGCCCTTTGAAACTGAAGAATAAGAGCGACTCGAGGCTTGTTCGATTACTAGCAATATCAATCGTATTGTGCTTTCTTATAAAAGAAAAAACAGCGTAATATCGCAAGAAGTCTGCAATGAGTGAATGGAACCAGGGGCAAGACGAGATTTTCATGTTTATGAAGTTACATTCTGGTTATTATTCCATGTTTTCGGTATACGAGAAGTGCTGGAAACATGCACGGGGACAAAGACGACAAACACTGCAACATCAGCAAGTAATACCAAACAAAATATGCTGGAGATGGGAAGGTCACAGAGGCACTTGACAGGACAGGCCAGACGTGAAATGATGCGATCAGACGTTTTGAGACTGGACCTTTCATTAAAATCTCAAAGCAAAATATATTCCTAATGTACTTCTTGCACAGAAACCATGTCAAGCCGTGGAACAAATTGAATTCTTTGCACTAAATTGAAGACAACTTTATTCGGTGCTACGGAATGCCATGGGGTTGCGCACTGGCTCAGTCTCGCATAGGGAGTGGCAGGCCGAGCCTACTGACCACCTTGTGGGCCTGCTGGACAGCCGTGAGTTGATCACAGGGAAGCTTTCCAGAGAAGGTGCATATCTCCTAAAGCTCTCTGCGTACTACAAAACACCAAGCTTCTTGCCTCTCTCACTTTACACTGGTCCCGCAAGCACATAGGGCCCCGCCGCGGTGGTCTAGTGGCTAAGGTACTCGGCTGCTGACCCGCAGGGCGCGGGTTCGAATCCCGGCTGCGGTGGCTGCATTTCCGATGGAGGCGGAAATGTTGTAGGCCCGTGTGCTCAGATTTGGGTGCACGTTAAAGAACCCCAGGTGGTCTAAATTTCCGGAGCCCTCCACTACGGCGTCTCTCATAATCATATAGTGGTTTTGGGATGTTAAACCCCACATATCAATCAATCAATCGCATGCACATACGGGAGGTAAATGGAGTAACCACGGACCACAATGAGGTTGCGAAAGAAGCTGCGCAAGAAGTGACAGACTGCATCGTCTCCGATATTGTTCTTACCCCCAGTTGTGGAATGTGTTATGGAATGTAATCCTGGAAATAGCTGTTTTTTTGTACAAATTAGGCGCTGCTACATTCATGGGCCTTGGCTATTTCGCTGTTAAGTTTAATCTGCTTACCTAGTCGCAGCTCCTTCAGGCTCTATTCTGAAGAAAAGGCTTACTTTGCCTACCACTCTATGATATGCGCATTGAGGTTCATAGTAAAATATGAGTCATCTTTTATTTTTACTTTCAGCTCTATTGAGGAACCGAAAGAGTCACGCCAATAGTTGAGCCTTTTTATGAGAGACATGCATTGCGCAGCGATTCCGGTCTTATAAATGATATGTCTCGGGGTCCCACGTGTGCACTTTCTTATCAACCCCTGTTTTTATGCAAGCACACTGGTGTCTCTGATACCCAATGGTCTGTTATATCAGTATCTCTTATAAAAAAAAAGTTTAACTGTGTCAAGATCGTTCACAACATCGCAAAACGACAACAAACAAAATAGAACAAGTGGCAAGATTACTGTCTCATAATGGTCCGATATTTCAATAAACTCGGCAAAGCTTCCAATGGCCAGTGCTCAGCAGTGCCACGGTACGTAAAAGTTGCGAATCGAAATCAAATCAAATATAAACCAAGTAATGGCCATGAACAATGGGTCGTTTACGGCACACTAAGTTTAGTATAAATGAAAAAAGATTCCAGAAAATCGTTAGAATGTCTTAACGCTACACAAACCTTTGCATTTCATTCATACGGCACCACAAAATAACAAGAACACCATATTGGCGCATTAACACAAGTACATACACTTATCTGAACTTCATTCGCATGAGCAAGACATACACATGTAGGGAAATGGAATCACGCTTAGAAGAAAATTTTAGCCATTCGAATAAATTATTTTTTCAAATATTTCATGAAGTCTTTGTAATAAACCTGGCAGGTTTTATATTTCTAGCCTGTTTTTTCCCAGTTTATCAGAAGCTAATGCTACTAGAAACCACATGATTTTTTGAATTTTAGTTAGATTAAGCACTCAAGTAAACATTTCGAAGTGAATCACACACAACCAAATCTATGCCAAATCTATGCAAGTCACTGTAAAAACATCAGATATTTAATGTCATCATAAAAACCAATTAAACAGTTTTACGTTACAAAAAAATGTATGAGTAGTATCTCGCCTAAAAAAAAAGAAAGCAGATGTTTACATCAATATATTCATAGCCAACAAATACAAATAAACAGGATTATGCCCACAGCTACTACGTCATTGGTGAAAGATAACAAAAGTTTACAGTCACAGCACAAAAGCTAGCGTTAATGGGTATCAACTCAACCTTAGAATATATGACATTCACTCGATATGCCAGCAGTTTTTATGTTATTCTATCGTCAGTGTTAAAAGCAGTTCAATTATCCACAGATTTCAGGGCTCTGACATCATGTCTATACAGTGGTGTATAAAATTTCACATTTAAGGCTACAGCAGTATTGTAATGCCTTTTCATGATGGGGAATTATAAGAAACTGATAGTAAACACTCATGCGGTATTATAGACTCAAGGCACATCACATTCATAGATATTCATTTCAGAGAAAAGAAATTATCTCCTGGACTTCAAATTTTTCACCTTGTATGTTGATCAGTAAAATGCAAGCAAAACATTGATGAAAACTGGCACAGTTGAAAGCTTTAGGAAAGGCCTTTATGTCACAGTGAATTATATATATCAAGGTTACCTTGCTAATGAATGATAATATTAATGTTTCAGTCTTGCACATAATTATTTTTTGAAACAGCAAAAGATAATCACAAGAAAGCACTGCAACGAAAGAGCAGGGGCAATGAAAAGCCGACACTGACCTGAGCTGTAGCCATTGGAGTATGCCGACCTTGAGCTCCTCATGTCTAGGTCTGTTCGGTCCTTGTGCACCAAATAGTTGTCGTATTCACTGCAAGCACAACAAACACCACATTGGTAGCTGTCAAACACCAGGTGTTGGAATCCAAATGCTGGCAGGAGTGCACAGGTTCAGGGCACAGCCCTGATCCAGAGCAGCATAAAACGCCCCTGTGCAAAGGCTGGACGGGGGCGCTTATCTTGGCCACATACGTAAAGATAACTCTCTCAATCTCAGGAACAGCTTGCAGCACTCCACAGAACAACTCCCCACATGCAACACACGTTATCAGCCCTGGAGCAATGTCAACTGATTACCAGGCCGGTCAAAGGAAGCTGTAGCACTAATGCAAACATAGCTTGTGGTGGGACCAGTGAAAAATTGATAGGGATGGTAAGTCTAGGTAAACCTGAAATGACTTCAGGGAGCTTGATACATCTGTTCTCATCTCGCTGCGATTCAAGCATTGAAACATAGAACTAACCTCAACCTCTGCATTAACATGAAATGTCACCGTTCTCTCTTTGCTAAGCGCTGTCCGACTGATTATGAAGTTGCAGAACAGGCACTCTGAGATAATACATCAGCAAAGGAGCCTAAGTGAGATGCAAAAGCGATTTGCGTCACTGGAAGTTGAAGAAGCATTTTGACCCACAATCTTTCTATTTTAGTTACTTATGTGTGTATTTATTCGTAAAATAATTCTAGCCTAAGAAGGCTGCGCGCGGGAGTGTGGACACAAAAATAAACCAATACGTATATACTACGCAAAAATGAACAAAAAGAAGTGATAAAGACATGGTAAATACTTTACTTTACTAGGACACTAGCGACACTTACAGAAACAATTAAAATAGTATATAACTACAGTATAATTATTATCTTCTACATATTACTTATACATACCACACGCAGCATAAAGGAATATATGCACTCTGTCGCTTAGAAGAAAAGAGCTGATCGTGTATTTACACATCACCATGTATGTATGTATGTATGTATGTATTTATGTATGTATGTACGCACGCACATGGATGCACGCACACACGCGCACACACGCGCGTGCGTGCACACACACACGCGCACACACACGCGCGCGCGCGTGCACACACACACACACACACACACACACACACACACACACACACACTGAAGAAATTTTTCCAATGGGCCAGACGTACTTGGAAGAGATGACACACAACTTAGCAATTGTCTTAATTTTATTTTCAATGGTATTGACCGGTCCGCCGGTCAAAACTGTTGGAAATGAAATTAAGACAAATACTAGTTGCACTTGTCTATATATATATGAGCTAATATTGATGAAAAAATAACATTTAAATCTGTACTTATAAAGGCAGCAAATGAACCTTTAGCACTTAATGAGATTTAGTGTAGTCGAGTAGTCCATGACCTTGGCAGGAGCTCATCCCATTCACTTACCGCTCATTAGAAAAACGTGTTTTCGAATATTATACACCTGTTTGACGGTAAAGGTCTTGGAGTTTTTTTGGGTGGTGAGAATGTGTGGTTCACTTATGAGCTGAATGCAGCCGTCCTTTTCTATTCCTACTTTGCTGGGGTAAATCTGGTACAGCTATAGTAGTCTTTCTGCCGGATGCTGAATTTTCAGCGACTTCACTTAGCTCTTTGCACAAGTTCATTTACCGGTGTGTGCTAGCTGTACATATAATAAAAATAAAAAGCTTCAGTTTTCTCTGAACACATTCTAAGTGGGCAATGTCTCTTTTTGTGAGTGGGTCTCATAATATTTTATGATTGGTCTGATAAATGTTTTGTAAGCTAGTAGCTTTAGATATGAAAGAGGCCCCGCAACACTTTTCTAAGTAATCATCAAATGGCTTCATTGAAAGAGTTTATTGCCTCACGAACCAATTGCTTCAAAAGTTTTTAGAATCGGTCAAGTACAAGCGAAGTTACAGGGATTTGTTGCACACTTTGAGTGATTTCTCTTTCCTTTCGTACTAGCGAGGGCGCTGACAGTTACGTAAAAAGCATAACAAAGGGGCAAAAAATGTGTCCTTTTGACAGCTGTGGGTCGTGACATTGCACACTTTCTCTCTTTTTTTTCTTCGAGCGTGCAGCTTACTTTCAGTCTGAACATGATAGCACATGCGGGCATAGGGTGACATTCTGCAGCGGCCTGCAGTAACTATGCAGCTCATGATGCTTAAATCAGATAATGACCATTGCCTTTGGGCATATGGCATTATTTAGGTAAGGGCATCATTTGTAGTAATGGTATCATTTGTAGAAAGAAGAGGGAGTGATTTATAGCTCAATTCCAGGCCATGTGCTGCACTATTATATTTGGCTCACGTGTTCTCAGAAGCCTCGACTACCGATCGGCCGCATTTTTTTACCATGCTCAAAAAATGCTGCAGGGGCCCCTAAAGGACCTTGGCACGAAATTTGTCTCAATATCCAAGCTTATGAACTGCTTTGTTTCATGATGTAAGAAGCACGCTTGTTCCACCAAATGCCTGATGTTAATATGACCCTTAGATATTTATAAGATTTTAGTTCGAGCAGAACATTTCCATTCAAGTAGTGGCTAAGTTGTGGAGGTGAATACTTCCTAGTAATCCTTATAAAAACTGTTTTTTTATGGTTAATTTTCATTTTCAGGTCTTCCGCTATTCTTCAATGTGTTGATGGGCTTCATGTAGTAGGATATGGTTGCAAGGGTCATCAATTCTGTGACTAATTATGCGGTCGTCTGTGGATACTTTAAAATTCGGCAGACACTTGATTTACCATATCATTTATGAACATTAGAAACAGATGGCAACACCACTGATGAAAATGGAAAAGGGTCTAACTTTTTCTACCATTGCTGCACGGTGCACTGGTGTCACTTGGTAGTTATCTGAAGATGTACTTTAAATGTCAGAGCACTTGGATAATGCATGAAACAATAGCTTCGATTGCCTCTTTTTTTTTAATTGATACTTCAGCTATATAACCTTTTAGTCCTCTCTTGAAAAATGAACTGAAGAGAGTAATGATTTGGGCTAGTTGTACCAAATCATTCATGTTGGTACTAAGCACCAACACAAGGCACAAGACATGAGATATTCCTTATCTCAATCTTGTGTTTGCACTTAGTACTATTACGAGTTCCCACTAGACACTTTCAGAATTTTTTTTTTTTTCAGAACTTTTTAGCTGTTCACTTACTTAAGCAGCCTGCGGGCATTTCTCGTTTCTTGTAACATGCGCTCTGTAATATAAACGTAAAGTTGTCACTCACCTGCTCACAGAATGTCTGTCCTCCCAACTATCCACTTTCATCACCCCTGGCATGGCTGCCATTCAACTGGCATCTGCAGCCGGCAACAGAGAAAATTGTTAACGCCCATTAATAACGAGCTTAACGTTAATAAGTCATAATACCAAGAAGTGTTCAAATAGAGGAATTTATGAATTTGGTATGAGTATTGCATGAAAATTATATTACAATATTGAATTGAATACTAAACATTTCTGATTTTAAAAAATAATGAAATATAAAGGTTGAGTGTAATTAGCCTACACTCGAATACAACTCAAGAAAAAAGCAGCCTTTCGCCGTCAAAGGACTTCACTTCAGTAAATGGCATCGCCGTGCCATTGTGACGTTGCAGCGAACTTGCTTCGCACTGCACTCGCGAAGGAATCAAAAAGCGTGTTGTTCCATGCTGGAAGACCTTTACCACAATGGCCACCTCCAGTGTTCACGGCAATCCATCGGTATCTTCAATGAGATTGCACTTTTGCAAGCTGACTTTAAACCACACACTTTTTCACGTATTTTATTCTAACAGGGAAAGAAAAGAAATTGAACTAAAATGTTATCTTATATCAATATAAAGGCTTCCTGAGGAAATACTTTACGGCGCAGATGCACTCATAGAAGTTTAGGGCCAAGCACTGCTTGTAGCTAAGTGGTCGGCCACAATGTCACGATCGCACAGAGGTGCCATTGGCTGGGAAGAGAGGGGTCCTTTGATGGGAAAAAGCCGCTTTCTTTTTTTAAGTTGTATTGGAGTATAGCAACATGATTCTTATTTGTATTATTTGACAATTACAGGATGCCATGTCAACTGCAAAGCTTGTAAATCAGGCTCAAAGAAAAATGGCATGTTTCATTCACAGTAACTATGGCAGTAATGAAGTAAAAAAGCAGCCTGTCACTAGATACGCCTAGCAGAAGCATGTTGGAGGTAAATGCAATTACATCACACCCTTGACATTAAAATCAAACAGAATTTATGGCACCTGCATCACACTAATTAATTTTATAAATTTCTCACTCACTATTGCAAAACATGACACAAATAGATTTACTTCAAACCTAATACCTCTCTACACTTAAGTACTAAACAGTATAACGATGATTTGTATGTAGCAACTAAGTGCCCAAAAAACCTGGTGAGGGAGTTTGGACTGCTAATACCCTCAATATCTTTGTTATCTAACTACAGATCAGTTCAGTATTGGCACAAAACTTTTTTGCCATTCATTGCCACTTGCACCATCAATGCAAAGAATGAAAAGCAGCACTGAAATTTTTTACAAACAAACAGGAAGATGGACGACGAGAAGCACCGACTTACAACTGATCTTTATTTGCTCCATTAGCCTTTGCACCATTAAATAAAATTGTTGCATACAGCATGCTGCATTGCAACATTATAATTAAAACAAATGCTACTGCTTTTTATTACAAAGTATGGATTATTTCTCTCAAGACCGTTTAGGAAGTCTTAACGTGTGAAAACAGACCGCAGGAATAAAGCAAGCTCTCAAGTAGCTGAGCCTCAGCCAATAACACATTTCTGTACATGAAGCAGTATTGCAGGGAAATGTTTTTTGACTGTTGCCAGTGGCAAAATAATTGTGATAGGTATTCCTAAGTGGTAGGTTCTCTTCTCTCGTCCCGACGAAAGCGCTGGGAGCTAAGTAGGGAAGGGTGGAAGGGGCAAAGAAGCTACTGCGCCTCGTGACCTTGAGCACTTCTTTTTCTTCGAATGCGCGGCTTTTGCAGTGTGATCGCGTGCGCACGCGTGGACAAGTAGCGGCCTCCCGCGGCGACCTCTGCAACCTGGTTTTTCCCTCACAGGCGCACAGACGATTTTTCGCTCACAGCCAACGGGGCCGACGCTGACGGCGAGATTTCTGCTACAGGAGCTCTCTAACGCTATCGCGTTAACATATTATGATGTGAACAAAACAAACAGCGTTCTCGGCGCGGCGTTGGCGTTTTACCGCGGCGTCTCGAGCACACATTTTCGGATGTTCTTGAGAGGCGCCTAGCCAGAGAGTGAGGCGCGAGCGGACGGGAAAGTGAGACACCCTCTCGCACCACATGCTCCGATTGCTAGGGACGAGGATAAGCGTGCGCGCCCGCAGCCGTTGCTATGAGAGAGGGAGTGAGAGCGGAAAGGGAGGGCGGCGCCGCGGACAACGCCGGATGCCTGACATAGCCCGTCTAAGAAATGCATTCGCATTTAAAAAGAAAGCTGTGAGGACGCTTCAGCTTCGCTTGTTCAGGAGTAGACCGCGATAGCTGTAATCAGACCCTATTCATGTCGCCTTCCCAATCGCTAGTCTTTCTTTGCTTCTCGGTGGAGACCTAAGCCGCACTGCAAGGATTAATGTATTTTGCGTTGTGCAGCTGGCGTGCTTTTAAACTCTATGCACAGCTGCTCTTATCGCTAGGAAGGCGGCAGTCGTCCAGAATTGGCATGCCAGAACTGTAATGCATTGCGAAAGGCACAAGTTTCTGTACTCTTGCGCCCTTTGAACATTGCCTGCGCGCAATCGGTTTGCACGAACTTTTCGAGCGCGCGTAAAGTGGAGTCGTCGGGGTCAGCACCGGCACTTGGCTGTAATGGCCGTGCCACACTGGTCATATTTCTTGGCGAGGTTTCAACGGAAGTTAGAAGACGAAAAACGCGGAGTGTGTCGGTGGGGAGGGAACTCGCAAGAGCGCAGCAAAATGGGGTTGAACGCCACGGCTCAATAAGCGCTCCCTTCCCCCTCCTGCCCACAAACTGCGGCCACTCTGAGAATGTCAACAAATGGCTGAAACGTGCTCTATAGCTGCCAATCAATCAGCGTCCAGGCCCCCTGTCAGTCAGGCGCCTCAAGATCTATTTTCTCTTGCTGAACGCCAGTACAGCGTAGAGCCCTCTCACACCCACACAGACACGCACTTTATACTTCTGTTTTATTTTGAGCAAACGAAAAAGGTCGCTCTGCCGAACAACGATTTCGTCTGCTTGTCAAAACATCGCGGAAACAACAGCAACGTGTCGGTGTCTTTGCTGTTTACTTTGCTCCCACCCATCCCCCTCAGGAAAAAAAAAAAAAAACATATCGCGTGATTACGTGCTATGACACGAACAAACAGGAGCACGCGGAGCGCCGTTCTAATAATTGCGGTCCCACGCGTGTATATACGCACTTTTTTGTTTATTATTATTATTACAGCGTTCTCAAAGCGCGAAGCTGTCAGACACGCGAGCTTTCGTCAGCGCACATTTTCGCTTTCGCGATCGGCCGAGCGCGCAGGGAATGTTGCAATTAAAAGCCAAGCCGAGACGAAGCGCTAGCTTTCGTTCCGGTTTTCGATTTAACTAGAGCGCCGCGCTGACTCCGCTAACAAGCTGTTCGGGTCTGAAACAGGTTCGAGAAATGAACAGCGCCGCTCTTAACTTTTTTTCTTCCTTTCAGTTATTCCTGTGTGTCCTTGTCCGCTCCTTTCCACATCCCAGACATATTGATTTTCACAATGACTTGATACATGGACGCCGATGCTAATAAAAATTGGTGGATCCTATAGAGCTTTGCCCATAGGCCCAGTAGCGTGTGTGCCTTTTGTAGTGAGTTACCGGCTTTAAACCACGAAGTCACTACAATAATCACGCGTTCTGAAGCCCGATCGCGTACCACGCATTATTACTGCAATATTTCATGTTGTATTGAGAAGCACGTATTACATCCGAAAGCATGTGTTACTTTCACTGCATTTCTGAGCAAATGATTTTCGCTGCATTCACAAGCGGACTCGTGGCTGTGTGGTAGATCATCCGCTTGTCACGCAAACGAAGCGGGTTCGATCCACACCCCGACCTAGTTTTATTTATCCATTATATTTGCATCGATTTTTCGGTAACGCATAAATGATGATTTTTTTTTTTGCTCACAACCAACGCCGCCGGAATTTCTGCGAAACGAGCTCTCGTTTAGCTATCGCGTTAAATTAACTTTTAAAGTTTAACGTCCCAAAATTTCGATATGGTTACGAGAGAGAGATGCCGTAGAACAGGGCTCCGGAAATTTCGAGCACGTGGATTTATTTACCGTGCGCCTAAATCTCAGGCATTTCCGCCTTCATCGAAAATGCGACTGGGATTAGAATGGGTCGACAGTCGAGCATCATTCATAACCACCAGAACACCTTAGTTGCTTGTACGACGATGCTGCACTATAGTTTTCGTTCCGCGATGATGCTTCATACTCGTAGTGATTGCATGGGGTGCCTCACGAAAAAAACAAACAAAAACAAACTTGAGACCAGTTTTGTCACCGCAGCTTACTTGAACTAAGCGCTATTAGTTGCAATAGGGAATAATGCGATTACTATTTAGCCAAGTCGCAAAACTTTATTCCGTGTGAAGCCGCGGGCCGCAAGTTTGAGACACCTACATTAAAGAGACGCTAAAGTGTAGCAATGGATCGGTTTAGATTCATGGATAAATTGCACTCTGAGAACTTTAATGACGTTGATTTCACCGTAAGTTCATCAATAGAAGAGAGAGTCGTCAAAGTTTAATTTTTATACCTCGCGCCAAAACTTCCGCCCATGACGTCACGGATTTCGAAGTGTATTTGTCAACATTGACTCAACATAATTTTCTGAAACTCGGTATTCTAAGTCTACGGCTCCCTCAGAGAACAGTAGCACTGCCGCGGTGGTCTAGTGGCTAAGGTACTCGGCTGCTGACCCGCATGTCGCGGGATCGAATCCCGGCTACAGCGGCTGCATTTCCGATGGAGGCGGAAATATTGTAGGCCCGTGTGCTCAGATTTGGGTGCACGTTAAAGAACCCCGGGTGGTCGAAATTTCCGGAGCCCTCCACTACGGCGTCTCTCATAATCTTAGCGTGGTTTTGGGACGTTAAACCCCACAAATTAATCATCAATCAGAGAACAGTATACCTTATTTTTACTTATGAAGATTACGTAGGCTAGAGTAGGCGTCGACAAAAACAATGACGTCATAATAAAGTGGCTTTCTAGCCACTGTCGTCATGGTGTTTGGTGCGGGAATATCAAG